TAGCAGCCTCTACCTTAGCAAGATAGAGGTTAGACGCGACCTTGGCAGCTTTTAAGTTATTTTCCTACAGGTTCCACCTCCAAACACTCTCTAGCCTTCTCCTATTCCTCTTCATAGCCTTCAGCTGCTGGTTAAACCAAGGTGCTGGTCGGGCTCTGTGGCAGAGAGGGCGTTTAGGAGCGATTGTGTCTATAGCCCTGGTGGCGGCATACCAGCCATCCACTAGGGCCTCGACAGGAGTGCCAGCCAGGTCAATCGGAATCCGACGCGTGGCATCCTGGAATCCAATAGGATCCAGTAGTCTGCGAGGGCAGACCATGAAAATAGGTCTCTGCTCCCCATGGGGAGGAAGGGCCATTGTGAGATGGCACTTTATCAGATGATGGTCCGACCATGACAAGGGGACCAATCAAAGGTCAGTCACCATCTCTCTGCTCAGTGGAGAAAACCAGGTCCAAATTGTGGCCATCCACGTGTGTGGGGCTGTTAACATGTTGGGACATGTCCAAGAAAGCCATGGTTTCCAAGAACTCAAGAGGCAGACCGGTAACCTCCACCTCTGCATGGATGTTGAAATCACCCAAGATAATCTGTTCCGGGGATCCCAACAGAGCCCCAGAGATGAAGTTGGTAGGGAGGTGGCTGGATCGCGGGGAGCACAGTATACCAGCATAATCCCAATACCATCCCTGGCCCCAATCGACACGTGGAAGGCCTCTAGGCCTGCCATCGTCATGGCAGAGAGCCCAGCAACTTCAAGGGTGTCCTTATAAACAATGGCAACTCCCCTGCCCCAACCCTCCACACACACCCCACTCTGGGGACAGGCCAGAGACAGGGGTACATCTCCTTCACTACCCATCCACGTCTCAGTGATGCAAGCCAGATCTGCATCCTTTTCCAGAATAAGATCTTATATTACCTGGGCTTTATTGGATACAGACCTGGCATTCAATATCACCAAAGTTAGAGTGGAGTGATTACTGAGCTGGCTAACTCAAGCCTGGTAGGTGGTAACAGTGCCAGAACAATGGACAGCTTTCAGGCATCTGTTCACCGTTCTTTTGGAATAACTAAGAGCTGTACCAATGCCATATCTTCCCCTACCCATAATCACCTGTATGTTCTAGAAGCTGGTAGGCAGAAAGATGAGTGAGGGCAAAAGAAGCAGAGTAAAGTGAAATAGAATGAAATAGCCTGTATAGCCTGCAGATACTGGCACTTAGATGTTAAGTTACAGTTTTGACTCAAGAGTTCAGTTTATTTATATGAAAATGGAACAAGCTGTTCAGCTTGCAGTCCCTGTGTAGACCCCAACACTTTTCAAGAACAAAAATATGCATTTTTCTTACCTCACTATTACATTAGTTCTCTTTGTCCTTTCTCCAAACCACATTGTGGATGGTTTAACACTAATTATATGCAACCGTTTCCCATTTGCGGACGTCATTCCACAAGGCAATCTGTTCCCTCGGAAGAGTTCATCATCCTGGTGGGCAGACAGGTTCAAAAAAGGCATGGATGGAAAGTACATAAGGGCAAGTCCCTTTTCAGTACCACAGTGGTGAGACAAAGGCAGGGTATCAGGCAAACGAACAAATAACTAATTTTACAAGAACTTGTTTTGTCTTCTGTTTCCCTGTCAATTATGAATCCCCACCCTCTAACTCTTTCTTTCTGTTCATGGAACTCAGCCAAGTATAGACCTCCTACCTGCATCATCCACTTCTAGTTTCTTTAGCTGCCCAAGATGGCACAGAGGAACCAGAGTGTCTTACTGTGGGATCAAAATGAACCCGAGAAACCAGAGTGTCATGTTTTTGATGGCAAAGAAAGCCCACCCAAGACTACTCTGATTTCTCTCAAGGCCACTCATGAAAAAAAATGAAAAGATCAGTCAGCTCTCTGCTGGGAACAATGGAAGCACTTAAGAGAAATGTTGGAATGCCTCATTTTTAAAAATACCTGGGGGGGGGGAACACCCGAACATCGAGGTCCTCATCCCAAGAGTTTGTGTTGCTACTATGAGAGGAGACCTCACCATTACCTCATTTCACTTCCTTAAGACCCACCCAAGCATGCTTTGTATTTATTGTTAGTCCCCATGAGACTTTACAATAAGGAGGGTTCTAAGCTTAGTCTGGTATCCATGAGGGTGGTTCCACTGTCCAACTGGCTTCTGTTAATGGAACTGGGGAGAGGTGACTCAGCTGGCCCCCCACTCCCTGTGCACCCCCCCCAAAAAAAAACCTACTTTGGACAGCTGGAAATACACAGAACCAGTTTTCGGATGGTGCAGAGGGCTACTAAGGAAAGGGAGAGGAAAAAACTGCCACTTTCTCTCACTCACACGCGCACACACACACACAGAGAGCAGACAACACATCTACATACATGCCCCTCTGCAAGATGTCCTCTAGCACTCTTCTACCTTAACCAAGACTGCTTTATTAGGATGCTTTATTTTCATCAAGTGAGTAGTGCAATAGCTCTTCTTGTTTGGACTAGACTTCTTTATCCAGGTTTTATGCTTTTAAATATAATCTTCTAGTGCACTTCATTGCATTTTGAATGAACATCTAGGAAAGCAACTAATAAGTAAACCACCAAAAATTACAAAATAAAAATACAGCGTTCTTATTTGTACATATAGAGCCAGTGCAGCATTGCTGTAGAATACTGGACTAGTGCAAGTACTCTGTAGACTGCAGGAGATATAACATCAAACACCAGAAACTGCACTATGATGGTTAAGAGATACGCACCCTTGGATGGCGACACGCGTGAATCTGGGTGTGCCGATCAGAGGTGATATGGCAGAGGATTTCTGGCATGTTTTTAAACATGTCCAGTCTATTCACATGCACCTAGGACATTGAAGTTCACAGTTATCAGTGCCATTTGAGACTTCACTTAGACAAACCTGCCATTCCATACCAATTTATCTCATTGCCAACAACCTGAGAAGGGAGCAGAGAAGAGGCCTGTGCGCTCAGAGTACTCACTGACTCAAAAGGAAAGAGTGCCAAACAGATACATCTATGGGTACTGCAATTCCTTCCTTATGATCTGGACCATCAAGTTAATTAGGAATGCTGATTACGAAGAAAAGCCTTACTCTTGCACACCCATAAGGCATTTTCATTAATACTAATCACATTGCTACCAACACATATACACAAACAACTGGCTTCTCTGCTTGTGACATCGCATCTGGATGGTGTGGTTTATTATCTAGAACAGCGGTCCCCCGACCTTTTTAACCCCGTGGACCAGTTGGGGAAAGCGGGGCACCCCCTGCACTTGTGCAAATGTGCGAAGGAGCAGACACTCTCTTGCACAGGTACGCATATGCTCGTGCACACGTGCAAAGGATTGGGAGGACACTCATGCGGGTGCTCATGCTTATGTGCAAAGGAGCGGGAGTGTGCTCACACGGGCACTCGGCTGCATGCGCTAAGGGGTGGGAGCGCACTCACGCAGGCACATGCACAATAGGGCTGTGCGGGGGGCAGATGTCTGTCTCCGTGGCCCAGTCCGGCACCAGGCCACGGACCAGAGGTTGGGGACCTCTGATCTAGAAGGCTCACCAGATGTGTGAAAACTCTGCCTTCTGCCAGATCACAGGCCTCGAAGGCCCTTCCAAGCTAATTGTTCCAGATTCACTAGCAGACTTTCCTACCTCCAAGTTTTGACTGCAGCATCCTCCCCTCCCCTGCCCCCTTCTGAAATGAGTTCTGCTGAACAGCAGTCTTACCTGGATTCCAAGCTCCTCACTGAGGTTTGTGAATAAATACTCATATCCATAAGCTGCTTTGCAGTTCAGCCATACCACATGATAAGGACTCAGAGTGATCCAGCTTCTTACTAACTCTAATATTCCCTTCACACATTCTTCCTGTCGAGGGAAAGAAAGCAGTTATTGGTTTAAAATTAAATCTTGATGATGCCATGAGTTTTTGGTGGATTAAAGGCGCATTTAATTCACTTTAACCCACAGCTGATTTATCACAACTAAACTCAAGTAACCATTTGTTTCCTGGGCAGGACTGAATGTTGTTTCTATGCTTCAAAGCCCACTCTTTAGAAGCCTGTCAGGTATCACTTCCCCTCTCTTCATTTTGGGTGTCTATTTAATCACAGTGAAGAAGTTCGGTTCCTCTGTTTTGTTCATGCAGTCACAAATTCATACCAAAAATATATAAATTCACATTTCTCTGAAATGGAGGGATTTAATACAATGCTATTTAGCACCTTATAAGCTACAGCAGGCCATTGGTTAATTTCGCAATATCCCATTACTATCTCCTTTTTGCTGACAGCAGTGTTCAGAGAGTCTTCCTTAATGTTGCTTCCTGGAACCCTTTCAACTGCAAGTGCTCAGGACTGAACGTGAGGTTTTCTACATACGAGTCATGTTCTCCACTACTGAGGCTTTGGAACCTCTCCAAACCAGAGCATCAGTAACATCTCTGACTTTCCTAAGCAATCGTCAGGGAGGGCACTGTGCATACAGGCAACCCACACCCTCCAGTGGGCTGAGCCTCCACGTGTTGGACTGCAAATCCCATCAGTCCTCAACACTGACAATGTTGGGTACAGTAGATGGGAGCTGTAGTCCACAGCAGCTGTCGTCCCAACAACTTGTCCCCCTGGCCTAGAACATGCAAAATAAAACAGCAGTCAATGGAATTTGGAGGGGGGACAATCCGCTGCAATTGGATAAAAATCCAATACATAGCAAGCCCAAATATCTGGGAGTCTGAGTTACAGACAGAGAGAGATGTAGTAAATAAAGAGTTGAACCCGGTCGCAGAAGACTTGGGTTTAAATCCATACTTGGTCCCAAAACCCACAGAGGGTGGGAGCAATGGTAAACCACTCCTTGACTATCTCACATACTGTACCTTGAAAACATCCATCCAGTGCTGGTGTTGGTAGAGATTCTATGGATCATCAAGTCCAGCCCTTGCCAGGGAGGCACAGTGGGGAAGCAGCCTCAAGCTCTGCACTGAGCTGAGCCAGTGAGCTATCCAAAACCCTACTAGGGTTGGCAAAAGTTGGAAATGATTTTATGCCACATGCTTAACAAGAAGCTATTAGCCTTTCAGCTGCAGTTGTAAGAACCGATGCCAGAAGATCCAAGCTGGGCTTTTCTGACTAGCAGGAAAACAAGTGAAATTGCATGATTTTTATTCCGTTCATTTTACTTACCCTGCTCGGTATATGATGAAATTTGGGATCACAGAAAGTCGTATCTAAATACACACTCTGGATGTCTTTCACCCTGTAAGAAATAATTGCAAGACTCTCAGGAGTTCTTTGTGGTAAGGCTTACAACATCAGCTACATGTTACTCATCAATCCACTGAAGATTTCTATCATGACCTGAAAGGTGATATTAGCTTTTACTGAACAACATGCCCAAAAGAAACCAAACTGCTTTCATACCAAAGCTTTGGACAGATTGCTTTTACCGACTGTTACATACAGCACTGATGTTACCTGTCTGTCATGGGTTTGGAGGGAAAGTTCCATCCTATGGAGAGGGGAAGGCGGGACATCAGGAGGAGGGGCTGTACTGTATATATATGTGATGCGTGTGTGGTGAAAGGAGACGCTGGGATGTGAAGAAGCAGCAGCTGGGAAGAAGAAGCTGGTGTGGGAGTCTGTGTGTCAGACAGGGTACTACTGTGTGTCAGAGTACCAACCTGATAGGTTCAGGTGTCTGTTGGTTAGCCAGAACTGATAGGTTCAGGGTCTGTGCTTCAAGTTAAGGGTTCTGTGTGAACCAAACTGTATGCATGTATGAATGAGAATAAGCCACGTTACTTTATCTTATTCACCTGATCATTTTATTTTCCCTGTGTGTTGTATTTAAATAAACCTTGTTCTTTTATTTGTTTAAAAATCCATCCCTGGTCTGTGTGACTTCTTACAGGGAATGGTTGGTGGCAGCTTAGTTAACGTGTGGCAGATCCCAGTAGGTCTGGGTTTGTCACACCGACCTCACACGCTAAACCCATTCCTCCTTTTCACAGTTCTTTCAGCAATAAATGACCCGGTGCTTGGACAGGTTTGGATCACAAAGTCAGTGTGCAGGACCTTCTGGTGCATTTTAGGCACGGTGCCACAGGCAACTCTCAGCACCAAGCGCCCTGCTTTTAGACTAGAAAGTAGACAGCACTGTGGCCAGGAACCAGATCATGAAGTGCAGTGCATATATGCATGGAGTGTTAGCCCCAGCAAATCAGGCAAGTCTGCAAAGGAGGCTAATAAGTTAGCTGTAGGCATGCTCTTTAGCTTCCCGCCTCTCAAAGGTGCAGGATTATCAGAAGAAGGATCCCCTTCAACTACTCTGACACCAAGTACTACTTTATAGTCAGGAGACAGAGTTGTGGCACAGTTCAAGAGCTTCTCCTTCTGTCTACCAAAGGATCTCCCCTTTTCCAAAGCTGTGCAATAGTGAAATTCAATGGTCACAGTTGTGGTTACATATGGCAGGGGAGAAGAGGTGGCCTCAAGAAGGTTTGAACTGCTGTGTTCCTGGTTTTCTGACATCGTTACTCCAACACTACTGCATGCACTGTTTGCCTGACTTTAGGGACCTCTTTGGTCTAAGGCTCTGCCTTTTCTTTTTCCACAAATGTTCTTGTTTGAGGTTATTTTATCAATACACTGTTAGTTTCATAGCAAGTGTTTTTAAAGACATGCTAGCTACACCCTTGACTAACTGATTCTGTAAGAGATTTCAGTGAATGGTGAATCCATATGATAAGAATTTATTATCACCTACCTGTCCCCGGAATGCAGAAGTTCCATTCGGGCCACTTCACCTTTTGCAAGTCTGAAATCCCCAGTATACAACACAGTGCCATTTTCACCTTGGAACAGAAACCTGGGTGGAATTATACATGTGTGTCTCCATCATCCATCCAGTGACCTAACCCAGTGGCCACAAGAGCGATGTCCATGCCAATGAGCAATTGCTCAAGGGGGAATACAACCCAGAAGTCCCATTTGAGTGTTTGAAAACATAGGGAAGGAAAGCGGTATTCATGGAAAAGCCTGCCCTGTTTTCCACAGACTCATTCCTAAAGAATGTAGCTTTGGAAGCAGTGTGACTGAACACATGATTAATCTTCTGTAACTCAAATTAATGGAATATCTGCAAGTCACTGTTTTTTAACTAAGCCATGTGGGATCACTTTGCCCAAAAGTGGTGCTCTCTTGATGTTTTGGACTACGTTTCTCATAATTTCTAGTCACTGACTAGGATGGTTAGAGTGGACAACAACTGCAGGCCAACACACTGAGAAAGCAGCAGGTTGGGAAAGAATGCATAAGGAGATTTGCACCTAATGAGAGGATAAAGGATACAGAACTAGCACACATTTGACACTTTCAGGACCTTTCAGCCCTGCAAGGATTGTGCATGCCGTCTTCCTGGACCTTCCTCCCCAACCCCTCAAATTTTACATCCCTCCAGCCATAAGAGAACTACTATTTCATGCTGCATCAGCATTGTCAACTGTTATTAAAGAATACATATATTTACCATTAATTAGGGAAATAGGTGGAAAATCCTACTTCTAATTGTTTATTTAAATCATAGGCTATTGCTTTTGGAACAGTTGCTGACTTTAATGTTCTTTCATGTGAGGTTATGCTCACATGAAAGAACATTATGGCAGCAATTTCATGCTGCTTTTACGGCAGCTCCTATACAAACGTGAGATATAAATTAATTTTTTAAAAAAAGTACAAAATGCAATTTTAGTGTATTGACTATACACTGAAAATATACAGGTTCACTGTATTGAAATCATAACTAGCAGGAGACAGAGGTGGGAAAGGCAACTCTTGGGAAACAACATCCAGAAGAAACTGGTTTCATCCATATCCTGACAGCACCTTAGATTGTTATGACAGCACTGTAAGAAACAAAATACATTGCTTTTTCAAAAAGTCACTGACATTAATTATTGGAAGGATGCATACATGACTGATCCTGGGCAGTGGCCAGCTGGCAGAAGTGTTACAACAATATCTTCCCTCTGAAACAAGAAATAAAGAGGGGAGAAAAGAACTACAGATGAATCCATTCTTGTTTGGATATTTTGGACAATGAAGACAAGGAGAGGACAATATTCACCCAACTTATCTAAGGGATAAGAACATGGGAGTAGGTGGGTGGGGCAGGATCACACTCTCTTACCATGTCTTGACCTCTGTACATTTATTGACATGGTTGAGGTCTTTAACAATGTGTTTTATTTCATCTGACACAGTAAAGAGTCATCCAGTTTAGAGACACAGAAAATAAGAGAAATCCAAAGATCACAAAATGAAAGGGGAAAAAACAGAATAGGAGAGATGGAAGAAAAATCAGCAAACTTCCATTAGATTGACTAACACCAAAGATTCATAGCAAAAAATAATTTGCACTGCTACCCATTTAAAGTGTGATTAAAATTTTAGAACAGACAATATAGCTGCCCACCTCACCAGATGCTTCTTCAACTAGAGAAATCTGTGTTGGGGTTTCAACTTCAAGAGCAGCCTACAGCAAAAACAGACATAAAGATTCAATCTCGTTCAACCAATGCTGTATTTAAGGGAATCACACCTACCTAACCAAGAGACATGACTCATTCAGAAAATCAATTTTTAAAAACTGAACCCTTAATGGAGGTTCTTTCTCCTCCCCACTCCCCCAATTTTGTTCCTCAGATTTCCTACAGCTCAGTCCTCAATAGTGTGGCAAGAAAGCCCCACAGAAAAGACATGACCTTGGAACAAACAGTATTTTGAAGAACTAAAAAACTGAGGGCAAGATGTTGACACAAGTGTTCTCTGCATTAAAGAACAAGCATCTCTTTCTACAATGGTTGTCTGTGCATGCAGGAAGCAACAGATTAAAGAAAGGGAGTCCCTGGATGATGAACAATTTCCACTTCATGAAATTACAGACCAATGAGATGGAATAAAATTCAGCCTTCTGGAACACTACTTAATGTTCTTTATCTCCTATAGTCCTTTTATGACTTTTGCATACACTGCTATTTATAAGAGATTTAAATTACCAGGACAACATGCATTTACAGCCATTAAATGTGTTGTAATATACAAGAAGAGGCCGTTAAAGAAGTTATAATACACAAGAACTTACTATGTGATTCTCCCAAAATTTATATTTTGGATTCGTCAGCAACAACTCCTTCGTCACTGGGGAACAGTACAGGCGAACTTGCAAGCTTTGAGGACAGAAGAAAAAAAAATAAGGAAAATGGTGTACAAAAAAAGGGAGCAAATGGCAGCAACTAGGGGTGAGGTGGGATTTGTTTTTGTCAAAAAAGAACCTCCATATTTCACAAGCAATTAATGGTAAGACACAGAAATTTATTTTTCAAGAGGAAAAGAAGTCCCATTTTTAGATCTCTGACACAATATATTGTATTGTATGGTGTTCAGTTATTTACATCTTAAACTGATACTGATGGCTGTTGCAGCACCTTTCAAAAGTTATGCACGTGTTAATTATAAAATTTAGCTCTTATCCAAATTGCTTATTTTGAAGGATTAAATTCCAAATTCCAATGTTTCCCTATGAGTCTTTTTTTAAAAAAAATTTAATAAAATACAGCTCATAACATTTTGGGCATAAAAAAAGCTGCACTGTAAAAATGACACAATGAATTTGATAGTTGTTGGAGAATATGTATTATACATTAAATTGAAACATTGATTGGAGGAAAGGGAACAACACCCCATGCTTGTTATAAGAGCTTATCTCTGTGCCTGAAAAATGCAGACGAAAGCAGAGCAAGCCAAGAAACCTATCACAACCATTATTCGTGATATATAGTGGTGTCCTGCATGACGACGATAATCCATTCCAGCAAAATCGCTATAAAGCGAAATCGTCATTGAAATGCACCAGTTAATGCATTCCAATGGGGGAAATCACGAAAGTAAAAAACCCATTGGAATGCATTAAAAACCGGTTAATGCATTCCAATGGGGGAAATACCTGCTCGTTTTGTGAAGATCCTCCATAGGAGAAGCCATTCTCGATCGCCGTCTTCTGGAAATAGGTCCGGAAAACAGCAGGGAGCCATTTTAAAAACCCGACGATCAGCTGTTTCTCATCATTGTGCAGCAAAAAACGGTTCCCGAAGCAGGGAACTAGTCATCGTTAAGTGAAAAAAACCCATAGAAACATTGTTTTGCGATCACTATAGCGATCACTAAAAACTCATCGTTAAGCGATTTTGTCATGAAGGGGGTCATCGTCAAGCGGGACACCACTGTAAGTGACAAATCTAAGGACAAAATCTAAGATGCTGAACTTTTATTTTAAAATAGAATTGGGGTTCTGACTTCATTTTTAAGGAAGCTAGACAAATAAACTGTGAGCCAATTGAAAAATGCATTGCTGATAAAAGCTTCAGAACTAAAAAGTGGCCAAATTTTTTTTCTTATTCTTCAGCTTCACAGCCCCACCTGTACATTCTCCCTCTGATACACATTTATTTTCCTCCTCCATATTCACTGCTCCAAAAATGTTCTCAGGGTAGGGCACCAAAAATCCCCAATAGTTGACTAACTATAACAACAACTGTGTGCCATCAAGTCAATTCTGACTTACAGTGACCCTATTCAGGGTTTTCTAGGTATAGAGTACTCAGAAGTGGTTTACCATTCCCTTCTTCTGGGGGCATCCCAAGACTTTGCAGCTTGCCCAAGGCTACACCTGGTGTGGTTCTTCTCCCAGGAGAGACAGCAGGGAATTCAATCCCCAACCTCTTGCTCCACAGCTAAATACCTAACTTGCTCAGCTAACCAGTCTGACTAACTATATCCAACTCTTTAATGAAAAACATGCTCTCAGATCAAATTCTGCAATAATCGAAAATTTCTCCTTTCTAGTGAGAAGACTTTGTGCCAATTGACTATGGTACTACTGGAGACTTTTTAATACAAAATGTCATGCCTACGATTACAGCATATAAATTTATAAAACAGGAAATGCTTTGAGGGCGTACTATAACATAGCTAGAGAATTATACAAATGACAGCTTTTTTTCATGTTGCTCTACTGTGCTGTGCTATAATTCACCACACTGGTGTAGAGTAGTGTGTAGTTCTTTACAAATAACAGTAACATGGCAAAATATTTTGTTCATAGCAAACAAAGGCATGGAAGCAAACAGAGTTCTAACAAATGGAGAGAAGATCAGATTTGAAAAAAGGGTCTTACACAATGGGAAACCGTTAGTGAACAAATAAATATTAGAAAATTTAAGAAGCAAGAGAAGAGGGAATTAATATTTGTGACAAAATACTCTTTTGAAGAACATGGGGGAGGGATGGTGTAAACTGAGTTCCCCACTACCCAAATTACTGGTTCTATGACTTTATCCAAAGCAACAGAAATCATTTCTTACCTGCAGGCCAGTCTTCTTTTCATAGTGGGGGCTCTCAGGCCTTTCATGTGGTCTAAGTATTCAACAAAAAGTTTACATCAGTAATCCAGCAATTCTCACAAGAACATCTTACAGTCTCTGGCCTCAACACAACTAAATGTTTAGTAAAGATAAAGGACTTTTGAACTCATCTTTAGAAAAGAGACCTGGCACAGACATCTCCCAAGACCTTTGGGACTTTCACATAATTTGTTTCTGCACTATTCACAAAATATCAGTGCACAGACTGATGAAGACTAGATTAGGTCCAAAGTTAGCTATATTTTAATTATTTAATGGCCCAATAAAGGTATAACCTTTTTTTGCTTGTGCACTGTGTAAAGATCATACCGCTTTGTTTTAAAGGACTAGTTTGTAGCTCAGAGAAACAGGGTCTATATTAAGAGATATGACTGTCAGGAAATAAGTGGGAGAAGGATATTCCACTATAACTCTGCCCCCAAACCAAGAGAAAAATATTTTCCTCTTCTTAGTTTCTTCTGGCCTTCTTAGTTTCTTCTGGCCTTCTTGTACATGCTCATATAGCAACAACTGTGTGTTGTCAAGTTGATTTTGACTTATGTTGACCTTTTTCAGGGTTTTCTAGACAGAGTATTCAGAAGTAGTTTACCAGTCCCATATTCTACGGTCATTCTGGGACTGTGCAGGTTGCCGAAGACTACACAAGTTGGCTCTTCTCCCACGACACACAGTGGGAAATCAAACATCCAAACTCTGGCTTTGCAACCAGATGCCTACCTTACTGAGCTATATGGGCAGCTACATGCTCATATACCAGTAAACAGACACTGCTCTGGTATAGACAGAGCTGACTTTTAAAAGTTACACAAAATGGTTAACAATTAGATTGACTAACAGATTTATTTAATTCATTTAAAAATTAAATTTAATTAAATAATTGTAAAAATTGAAAGGAGTTAGAACCATCTTAGAAGAGACATTCCCAATTCTCTCTCCCTAATGGAAGCAAATGTTTGGAACACAACTGCAAACACAACTAGTTAATTATCCAAAAAACAATGCAGTAACTTCATTTCACAACTGCATTTCCACACATTTTTGTACACAGATCTGTGCTGTACAATCAACAAAATATAACTCACACAGGTAAAACTGCTAACAGTGCTTTACAAGGGGTGACAGCTTAACAAGTCTTTAATGGGCCACTTATGTGAAAACATGCAAGCCTCCAAAGTTATATACAACTTTCTTTGCCAAACTCAAACAATCATTCTTGCTTCTGTTTTCATTGATCAGGCTGTGAATCTCAGTGCTTACATAGCCAAAATGTCATCACATGGAAAAGGGGACTAACTGACAGGCTTGGGGAAATTCAAGGTTGCAGACATACAAAGAGGAAGAAAACCTTGATATGCAGTTGAGCAGCCTTCTAAAGCAGCCCAATTTATACTGCATATGATCAGTTCCCACAGAATGCTGACTGTGCTGGAGGCATGGATGCAAAACTAGGCAGGGAGGAGATAGCAGTATACTGCTGTAAAGATAAATGAACACCACACTTTACAGTATAACATTCTTATTCAGAATCCTTTTTTAAATTGGATAAATCTTAACCCAAGCCTTGAGCAAATCTACAAAGAAGAATTCACATGGAATTAAATGTAATGACTAGTAAGTTCTGCAGGAATTATTTATCTGGAAAGGAAGGCTGCGTTTAAAACAGAACTTGCAAGAATGAAGCACAACTGAAGCAGATAAGAAATGCCTAGTTACTCAAGCTAGATTAATCTAACTCTCAAGCTAATTCGGAGATACTGCTTGAATTGTGGCAAAAATGTTAAGGAAACTTTCAATCAAATCCTCAAATCCACAAACCCAGGTCATGTTCCCAGTTTCCTAGCTTTCTAAAGAGAGCAGAAAAAAGAACCAGGAGGTGCAATAAGGGGAAAGCAGGCACCCCCGTACTTCAATCCTTCCTCTCCAACGTAAAACCTCACATTCTCCAACTCATAAACCAAGCAACTTTTGTATTATCGAAAAATGAGAAGACACTATTCACCCCTTTTTAATGTGTTAATGGAGAAAGACTGTGTAAAAGCAGTGGAAGAAGCAGTGCCAGAAAGAAAGGGAAGGTTTCTCTGGTGTAATGCTTCCCAACCTTGTGTCCCCAAATGTTCTCGAACTACAACTCCCAGAATCCTGACCAGCAAAGGTAGTGGTGAAGGTTTCTGGGAGTTGTATTTCGAGATCATCCGCGGAACCAAGGTTTGGAGTCACTGCTCTTAGCGACTCCCACCAGGCATATCGCTCTTCATGGAGTAGCCTCTGGCACTGTTTATATCGTTGTGTTTCCAAATGAGAAATAAGGCGTTACTGGAACGAAGTGAAGCCCCTTTCCCTTGAGCGTTACACGGCAGCATCGGCGACAAGGCTCGCTAATCGCAGGCTGGGGGCAGAACCGGTCAAACCCAGACTGGAGAGGCGGCGTGGGGGCTTTCTCACCCTTATGGCAGTGGGACAAGAAGTAAGCTCGGGCTCGCAGGTTCTCCCGGTCGAAGCGGTCTATGGAGAGGTGCGGGTATTCCCGCATCCTCCCGCCGAAACTACTCATGGCGCAGCTCGGCGGCCAACAAGTTCTCCCGAATGGCTCTTCACCTTAGGCGGCCATGACTTCCTCCAAGCTTCTTCCGCGCCACTGCCCGATTGGCTGAGAGAGGACCCAATCACCGAAAAGCATCGGAAGACACGCGCCAGGGCGACGTCGCAAGGAGACTGGACGCCGCGCAGCTCCGCGGGGCGGGCATCCTCGTGACGTAATAGCTCCCGTCTAGCCTTTTCTCCGCCCGGTCCGTCTTGGGGGGCGTGACGTAGGCGGCCTTCCATCGGACTGGAATTTCTGCGATTCCATCTGCTCCAAGCTACTCCCAACCGCGTCAAATCCCGTAGTTTACCCCTCCCCGCAACGCCCCCTACCGAAATAGGCCACAGCTGTGGCCATCCAGGCAGTGGCGGTTACTACCGTTTGCAAAACTCTGTTAAATAATTACCTGCTGTTTGTGGACCGGATCCTTATGCCAACACTAACATATTTAAATTAAATTAAACATGTGTGGGCTGTTCCAGAAATCATGCCACTAAAGCATCTTTAGGGGGAAAGTAATCCCAAACACTGACTCCTGATGCCAAATCAGGAATGACAAGTGACAAAAACATTGTTCCCCCCAAATCCAGTACCAAATATGGTGAATTCTTTACTAAAGAGTTCAACTCACTCCTGTCTAAATTGGCAAGTGGAGATAGATTTTATTTCCAGTAATTTTGAACAGAGATCCATGAGCAGCTGAAAAAGGAAAATATGTATTTATACCTGTAAAACCTAAAAGTATGGTTTCTTGAGGGCTCAGTGCTACTGGATGGATACATCATTTGAAGTAGTCCGAAGTCTTCTGCCCTCTTGCTTATTGATTTCTGCTTTTATTGGCAATGGTGGCAGCTTTGGTTAGTGTTTTGTGCAAGAATTATGCCACTATAGTAGTCTGAACACAGCTGATCTTACATAATTTAGGAAGCTAACCAGGATGGTTAGCATTTAGATAGGAAATCACTAGGCTAAACCAAAGATCTTCAGGTAAAGCTAAGGAAAAATCTTTCCTGAAACTCTGGATTACTGCTGCCAGCCAGTTGGTAATACTGAGCAAGAAGGGCCAAGCATAAAACTCAGTCCAAGGCATCTTCCTTGTTTCTATGAAAAGGAATGTTTAATAACAATAACATGTAGCTCCTTAAAGACCAACAGACTGCTTTCAGTGTGTTTTCAAGGATTGCAATCTACTTCCTCAGAAACACAGAGTGAAATGCTTAGCCACAGGGTTATATGCAGGAGTATGTTGTTGTGGGGATGGGATCTCAGCAAAGAGGGATTCAAGCACAAAAAACTGAGCTTTCAAAGGGATAATAGCATCTTTAACAGAGCTAATGAAATCTGTTGTTGATTGCATAGGTTTCCTGAATATCATATAGGTATAGTGATAACTCTACCAGCTATGCTGGTGCTATTTGAAATGCAAAGATGTTGTTTGAAGAAGTCCCTTTTTTCATGAAACAACTTTTGATTTTTACATCACCATAAGTAACTTTATACACCAGATCATAAAGAAAATGCTTTTAAAAACATAGTGGTCTAAAGAAGCATAGTCTTTCTTTAAGCCTTTTGACACACACCGGAATGTACACATACAACCTACCTCAACTGTCCCCCACTTCCAATCTTCCTGACTTTTATGAGCCACTTTGTGATCTCTAGGAGAGTGCCTTGGGAGTTGAAGTGTTTTGAAACTGGCTTTGTGTGCTGCCATTTTAATGTCATATTTTTTGTCACTTTTTCTCCTATGCGAAGATTATCCTGTGTGCATTATATAAAATGCAGAGAGGAATTTCTGACAAAGGATGGCATAGACCTGTTACAGGTCAAAACCTGTTACCCAATTTTCTCTTGCAAGGAATCAGGCACAACGCAGCCAGTTGAACCAAAGTCCAGTTTTATTGATTAACAATAAAGTCAGCTGGGACTTACCTTAAAAGCAGAAAGGACCCTGAAAATACAATTTACAGATGTTTTATAATAATAGAAACAAAGAGCCATAAAGTCCTACAATTCTATTGGTCATCTTTTTGCCACCAGTGGTTAGCAAATTTAAATTTCCTGCCCCTTTCCCCTGCCTTTTTTTCGTTTTTATCTTGAAGCTCCGTTCGCAAGTAGAAGCAAAATTTTGCGAATGGAGCTGTTTGTAAGTTGGATTGTTCGTAGGTAGGGGCGTTCGTAAATAGAGGTTCCACTGTATTGCCCATGAATGCCTTCTCAACTATGGGGAAAATAGATGAGGCCTATACTTTGGCTAAATCTACTAGGCCTATAATACTAAAATTTAGCTTGAGCATATCCGCGTATCAGACCATATTAACAGAAAGGAAATGTTTGGCTGTAATGCTAGTACATCTGTTGCTTATGCAAATATCATTTCAAATGGCCATAGCTTATTTTGGGATGTAAACTCCTTGTTCTTTATTTCTAAATGTAGCTTGTAGAAAACCTTGTAAAAATTGACTGCACAAAAACAACACTTTGGTTCAGAGAGAATGCTAGGGATTTCCCAGTCATAAATGACTGTATGATGTGAGGTCACCTGGAGCTCATTTTGAAGTACAGAGGTTCATCAATCCAAGATGACCATATTTGCAAAAAATGCAGGAAATGTTGCTAGGCCTATAATACTAAAACTTAGTTTGAGCATATCCAGGTATCAGACCCTATTAACAGAAAGGAAGTGTTTGGCTGTAATGCTAGTACATTTAATATATAACAGTCTGTTGCTTATGCAAATATCATGTCAAATGGCCATAGCTTATTTTGGGATGTAAACTCCTTGTTCTTTATTTCTAAATGTAGCTTGTAGAAAACCTTGTAAAAATTGACTGCACAAAAACAACACTTTGGTTCAGAGAGAATGCTAGGGATTTCCCAGTCATAAATGACTGTATGATGTGAGGTCACCTGGAGCTCATTTTGAAGTACAGAGGTTCATCAATCCAAGATGACCATATTTGCAAAAAATGCAGGAAATGTTATAGGTTTGGGCCAATTCACATTTTTCTCCGTTGATTACACAACGCTAGGGGAAATTTAAATCAACTCCAAGTCCTCCCTTCCCCAATCCACAGATTTTCCTCCCCATGAGAGAATTTTCCACCTCTTGAAAAATTGCATCCTTTTCTCTGGTTCAAGCATCTGACCTCTTAAAAAAGGGGACGAGGTGCCTTAAACTGGTGAAACTACACTGGTTGAACATCTGCCACTACATTTCTTCCCCCCAACGCCATGTTAACCCACAAGCTTTGTGGAGAATGAAATGCAGGGGGTGAAAAAAAGGGTAGTGGTGGTGGCGGCGGAAATGGTAAACCTAAAAAGCCCGGTCCCGTTAAAGTCATAGTGACACTTTAAAAATAATATTGCTTATCTAAAAGTCCCGCGGACTTCTGGCGAAAGTTAGCAAAAGGATGCAGTTAAATAAAAGCCAGCGTTTCATTTAAAAAGCAGCATAAGGATAAGATAAGACTGAAAACAACTATAACCAAGTAGGTGCAGTTCTATTATTTAAAAAAAAACTATCCCGTGTAAGTCGCGCTAAATATCCAGGTATAAAGCCGATTCCACGGCAACCGTCTTCTGCTCAACCTCATCCCGCCGCCTCCGGAAAAGAACAACACGCGCCTGCGCAATAGGTTGCCTATTGGCCGCTTCGAACAGCGCCCTCCCAAGCCGCCTCCCGCTACACGGCTGGTCGAGAGCAAGCTCCCATTGGTCCAGGGGAGGTCAGCTGTAGACGCCAGCGGTTGCTAAGCGACGCCAAAACAAAGAGGAGGAGGGTCGGGAGAAGGAGGGAGGAGAAGCGGCTATTCGGTTACCTGAGGCGAGGAGTCGGTTTTGGCTGGGATAGCCCACTCGGCAGGAAAGGAACCGGGAAAGCAGAGAAAACAGGTAAAATCGGAACGTCCCCTCCGTTTCTCCTCCCTTTTAGAAACAGGCTTCTCCTCCTCCTTCTCCTCCTCCTGCTGCTAACGTTTAATTCGCATTACAGCTAAATCGACTTTGGATGCTGCAGCTCTTGGGTGGTGATGTTTCGTTGCCTCCAAACTAGCCCTCAGCCGTAATGTTCTCCCTCCTGCGCTACTTTTCACAATTATTTTCTACTATGAATTTTACCAACTGTAACCATCTGCATTTTTCTTTCCTAATGCAGCGACTGAAGTATTGTAGGCTTTTTTGAATTTTATGTATATTAGGATTTATTGGTCTTTACAGTATTCATTTCCTTAGTACTACTTTTCAGTCAATAAATTCTTTGCATCATACAATGAATCCATACTGAAATGTTTCAATATACTTGCCTATGTTAAAGGTTTCCATGCCTTACACAAGAATGTACAAGATCCTAAAATGTACTCAAAGCCAATTTTAAGTTTTTTTTTTAATTTTAAGTTTTTGTTACATATATTCATAATCTTAGAAAACCTGCTTTGGATTATTTTTTATCCCTTCATTGCATGACTATGATCCCACAGTTCATTCAACCAAATTCCAAGGTATTTTATTATCAACATATTCCATGCTTTCATTTTGGGTTGTTCATTGGATTTCTTGGGCTGCCTGCTTTTTACTGATAGCCATGAACATTATTTTCCTAACATTCAGTTTTTATTAATTTCATTAAATTGGCATACTTCAAAAGCGAATGCAAAACAAACAAAAAACATAAAACAAATAGTGCTCCACTCGATTTTTCTTCCCTGTATGGAGCCCCATTCCCCTTCTAAAATGTTATTGATGGTTGCAAAGCTGCGCAACCTTTATCCTTTGTTAATACAAAATCAATAAACTCTCCCAAAATATTATAAAAACATTCATTTTTATAGCTACTCATTACTTACTTAAATGACTTACTGAGTAATTTGCAGACCATCTAAACTGTCAATTGGTGATAACTGTATTGTCTACATACTGGATATTTTTGTTACTGAGCAAGTCTTCGTTGACAATCAGAAAATTTGAATCAGGAAGTGCTTCTCTGTTTAGTCTTGGAGTACAAATTAAAAAGCAGTGGTGAGTGGGTTCAAATTAGGGAAAATCCCATTCCTGCTTTTTTTCACCAAAAGTGAAGACAGTCCTTTTTCACAAACACTTCTTTTATTTTGAAACAATGGAGTACTATGAACAACTTCAGTTGGAACAACGGGTCCCTCAGTTTCTTTACATTTAACGTAACTGTCCTTAACTCAGGCAATACGAAAGAGTTCACTGTTGGGGTTTCTCTCCAAACTGTTCTCCATCTGTGGGCTTTCTTATGGGCCTCCTCAGACTGGGGCATATGGTGCCGCAACAGGGGTGCTGAGCCCACTCCCTCCGTGGGTATTTCTGGCTGAGGCATCACCACTGGCCTGGCCCCCTTCTTCCACCAATCTTCCTTCTTGGCATAGACATACACCATCCATTCCACTGGTTCTGCTTCCCCCAGCTGTACGTACCTCAATTTCTTCCTTTCTTTGCCTTTTCTCCTCCTTCTTTGCCCCCTCAGCCTCCTAGTCTAGCTCCTTTTCACCTTCTAAATTCTCCTCAACCCCTGTCACCAGATATCCCTCCACTATTGGCTCCCCTCCTTTCTCACCCTCCTCTCGCTCTTCTTTCCCCCGCTCTTTTTCTCCTCTACTCTCAGCTGGGCCACTGCTGGTATCAGCCTATACGCTGTCTCCTATCCCTCTGTTGTGGATGCTGGAGGGGATGGCTCTCACTCTTTTATGTTGGGAAGTGGTTCCTCCTCACATGAAGGTATATAGCTTTGTCACATTGCTCTTTGACTCTCTACCACTATTGTCCTCAGGTAAGGGAATATAATGATAATTGAGGTGCAGATCATTCATTTGAGCCCTGTTTAAGATAATTGACTACTTTGCCTGATATTGCCTGGGGGTATGTATTTATATGTTAGGCACAGGCTTGAAGAGCTGAGCAGGGCAGTTTAGGAAAGGATGTTTTTGAGATCTCTCATTGATAGGGTCACCATAACTCTGTTGCAACTTGACAGAACATAACAACAACAATAGAAGCATGTCATTGTAGAACAATGTGGAACACACAGATCTATTGGTAGTATTCTTACTACTCTAAATAGAACAACACAGTCACAGTCCCAAAGAACTTCCAATTGAACTGAGAGTGGGGGGTGGGGGGGAAGAGTACAAGAACAAGATTTCAGAATGGGCAGAAAAAGTGCATAAAGTACTGGGTTAGACAAAGTGAAGCGACACTACAAGCAGCAGATTCAGGATATCATGAAAGCACACCAGTTATTTAGTCTTTTAGTTTATTTTTTATTGCTGGGGAAGAGGAGATACATTGTGGAGATTTTCTAGCTCAGACAACAAACAAACTTGCTTGATTTAACTATACCTTTGGGTGGGGGTTAATTTTTTTACTTATCTCAGGTAGGAAAATATCTTGGTTTGATCTTAAAAATATAAGTTGTCATTTTTTAAAGGTTTGTATCATTTTCTATTGTTGCTCACAAAACCTCCTTACACGTGCTTTGTTCTGGACCTTTTCAGAGCTATGCAGAATTTTTTAATGTACCGTACATATTGTGGTACTTTAACTCTTGTTCCCCTTTAATTTCTCCTGAATCATCTGATCATGTGTCAGGAAGCAGTGATTCCCATGATTATCTGGTCAATGGCTGCTACTGCTGCTGCTTGAAAAGTCCTCTTATCTATAACATTTACAGGCAGTTCCTCCGGCAAATAGGACAGGACAGATAATGGGGTGGAAAGACGTCATGAATAAAGCAAACAACACTCCTCATTCTTTGGAGGCCATCCTTACTTAATACATCTCAAGGCATTTGAAAACAGAGCTGTTACTGATTTTTTTCCACATTTTATAAATGCAGTTATTGTGGAATCTATTTTGACTCTGGTCAGTAGCTTCTCAATACTACTTGTATCTCTAATTCTTTTTTGACTATGCCTGAAGCTGGATAGGGCGTGAAGCTTCTTGTTGATGTAGGTTAGTTCCGCCATGGGAGCCCCCACCTCTACAGAAGTCAAGTAGACCTTTGTGTGTTCATGGCAAAGGTCTGCAGCAGAGCTTGCCAGCATGCTCTGCTGAAGGCACTTACAGCTTGTTTGTGATTGGGAGTTCTGATAAATTCTGATAATCATATGAGAGCTGTTAGCACATTCAGGTGAACATGCTTACAGGCACTTCTTCAGACCTTTGAATTGACTATGCAAAGCTTCCACAGACGACACTGAATGTGCAGTTTACATCCACACACACCACCACGATGCTTAAAGCCCTACATGGCTTCCAGCTACAAGGCCTGAATAAGAGGATTTAAGGCATATAAATTTTGGGGTTCCACTTCCATGACAAGTTGTTTCAAATACTAATGAAATCTGTGATTTTGAGATACAATTTCATATAGCTACAGTTTTCAAGTGTGCCTGACAACTTCTTCAATGCCACTGTATTACTCTTTCCTCCTGAGTTCACTTAGAAATGTGTAGTGTATTTCTTCAGCTTTAGGTATCCTCTACTAATTCTTACTAGAGAAATAATATGTCCTGAAAAGAAATTATACACTTTTTGTTAATAACAGTGCTCAAGTAGAATAGGCAATCTAATCAGCCTTGTGCTCCTTTTGTAGATGAGCTTGATCCAACTTTCAGGGTTATACCAAAAGTACATGCAACACACTCTTTTGCAGTTCTAGACTGGGTTACTATATATTGAAAGCTGCACTAAAGCCATTCATATATGCAGACAAGCAAACAACACTGAAATTGAAAGGCATCTTTAAATGGCATGTGTGAAATATATTTTTGAACACTATTTACATTACGTTTTATGTTTGTGTGTTTGTTGCAGGAATTCTTATGGAAAATCCACTTGTATTCATGGATAGTAAGGATGTATCATGTACAGGTTTCTTTTCTGAAGAAGCAGAAGAGCCCAGTACATCCTTCAGCAGAGAAGCAGATAGCATTGAAGACATGTAAGTAATGATAATATAGGGTCCTCAAGTCTATCCACTGAAACCCACCTTCACTCTTCTTTGACAGATTTTTTTTGCCTGTGATACTAATTATCTAGGTAAATATTAATTTACCACATCCTAAGTGACTGAGATGAATAATAATAATAATTACATGCCATCAAGTCAATCTGACTTATGGCAATTCTTCTCAAGGTTTTCCAGGTATAGAGTACTTAGAAATGGTTTCCTATTTATTTCTTTTGGCGGCTCTCTGGGACCATATAGCTTGCCAACATCACATAGGCTGGCTTTACTCCTGGAGAGCACAGTAGGCAATTTAATTCCTGATTCCACAGCCAGGTGCTGTGTCTCACTGGAGTGGCACCTAAACCCATGTATAATAATACATTATACATGTACTGTATTATTATACATTATACATGTATTATTATTGATATTATTATTATTAGTTTTATTTATATGCAAAACCCATGTATTATTATTATTATTGATATTATTATTAGTAGTAGTAGTATTTATATGCCACATTTCTCTCAACAAGGGACCCAAAGTGGCTACAGAGTGTGTGTATTTTCCAGGGTCAGACAGTGTGATGATGTCGACAAAGAAGGAAAAGATCACTGGATCAAAATGACTTCCTTGCAGCAGAGCGTAGTACTCAAAATGGCACACCTTGCCTGCTGGGGTACAAAAGCAAAATGACTGTGGTGGGAAATTGTACCCTTTGAACACACCTCCTAAGAACCTTGTTCCATCTCCCAAAGATTCTTAGGGGCAATGGAAAAGTGCTCCTCTCTATCCAAAGGATCCCAAAGGGAGACAGAATTTTGCTGCAAGGAAGTTGCACCCTGTGGAATTGTGCTGGGAAAATGTCCTCCCCTCTTTGCTGCCATAAAAGCCTGGGAGATGGGAAACTGGCATCAAAAGCCACCGTCTTCCAGCTGGAAGAGGTTCTCTTGCTTTCGTCAGACACAAAATTGCAAGGAAAAAGGACATCTGTAAAATGTTATCGGTTTGCCCGCTTATTTATCATGTGTTACATATGTCTTAATGTGGTTGACATTACTAGGGATTTTTTTTTAAGAAAGTGGCTTGTATGCACTCTGGGTGCATTGAAGGAAAACTCCATTTGAAATAAATCTCAGAACAAAGAAGAATTTGTACTGTATCAATTGCATGTTTGTTTGTTTGTTTGTTTGTTTGTTTGTTTACTTACTTATTTATTTTATTTATATCCTGCCTATCTAGTCAATTAAGACCACTCTAGGCGGTTTTACATGAGTTTTACTCAGATAGTATATCTAATATATAGTATTCACACAGTTAATACCAGTGTTTATACATCCATGTGCAGTTGACATCATTTATCTCTGTCAGTTTTCATAGGCATGACTGTAGTCTTTCAAAAATTCATTTCAGTAAATTAACTGAGGAAGACTCTGGAGCCACAGCCAGTGTTGGCATCAAACCGAAATCCATACATCGTGCCAAAACATGGTCAGATGAAGTTGAGAATTTGTACAGATTTCAGCAAGCTGGCTATAGGGATGAAATTGAATATAAACAAGTGAAACATGTTGATATGGTAAGAACTGGTAATCATGCTTGTTGATTGCAGCTCTGAAGGCAGCTCTTTTAAAATATGACCTATAATAACGTCCCACAATTTTGCAATTATTAATAACAATCTACTTCCCCATCTCACATGACCTATCACAGCAGACAGATAGTGCAGCATCTAAAGGTGCAGGAGAAAGTGAAAACTGATGCATTCTGTTTAGGACATACGTAAATGTTCCCCTTGGGGAAAGTGGGTCAAACATCCCTTCCTTGGGGAACCTCACTGATCAGATGTGCACCACATCTGATACACACTGATACACATCTGATACACCACCAGATATGTGTAAGTGTCTTTGTGAATCAGCAGCCATTGGACCAATCACACTCCAGATTTCAGATCTACTTCTTTTATAGACAATTCTAGAAGCCTGCTGATGAATGAATTAAAATATATTGAGACAGGCAACAGCAGCACAACTATTTTACACAATTTATGTATTTTGAATTTATGTATTATACCCTGACTTCTAATGAATTACCTGAAAGTTTGCCCTTTTCCTTATAGGACCATCTGGTTTTTGAGATCATTTGTAAAGGTCTTGCTCATGTTCCCATGTGCTTCTAAAGTTTCCAGTTGTTCAAAGGAGGGTGGGTTAGCACAGTTAAGGCAAATGCTTATTTCCTCCTCTTACGGCATTTTCCTTCCAGGTAGACAAATCTTCCACTGCTACATGAACAAGGGTTCAAACTTGCAGACTGAAAGCCTGATCCCATGACTAAACCCCCCCCCCCCATCTAATTCAAGTTTATCATGTTTTAGGTTGATTTAAATATGGGTGTTTACATGAGGCATGTGCAATTGTGAATTAATTTGAAAGGGGATCATGGTTTTTGTGTGTGTGTGGCAATGAGTCTTTTTACTCATTTGCCAGAGGTCTATTTATTTTACTGCTGATGTTGAATTGCTTCATTGATATTGTTTCCAGATATGTGAATGCCCCTATCTGCATTATTATTTTTTAATTCTTGCTATTTGATACAGCACTATACCAGACAGGAGGAATTTAAAACATAAATACAGTAATAAAAACATTACAGTATGCTTGTCGAAGCGAACCTCTTCAGTACAGGCTTCAGTTGTGCTCCTGTTTGTCCCAAATCCATGTGGCCCCTGATTGTTTCACCAACCAAAGATTGCCACTATTGTCATTGTACCCATCATGCAAGTAATTTGTTTTGTTGCATGTTAGGCCCAAATATACAGGCAAAATACTCTTCAGTTTGCTCTTGCAGCCAATTAACATCTTGTGCTTTGAAAATAGGAATAAAAATAGAAAAGATAGAACCAAATAATATTTCCCTTCCTACCTGGAATGAAAAAGAGAATGTTTGCCATCATAAATATTCAAATGCTCTTTTAAATTAACTTATGAAAGTAACTAGAGATCAGCTGAAATACTTTTGTTCAGCTCAGTGTGTGCAACAGGGATGTCATCAGCAGCAGCAAATCACCGCTAATTAAAGGCACATCGGCACACCCTGAGATCACCATTAACTAGGTGCAATTTGCTGTTGCTGCAGAGCCGCACAACAGGGTTTCAGCGAATACTTGTTTTATCCGAGTAACATTGGTGTCAGCCAAAGTAATGTATAACTATGAGATAGAGTACTTGTAACTAATTACAAGCAACCATATAATTCATTAAAAGCTTCTTCCAAGCTCTGCCCAGGCTTTGGGAGTACTGAAAGCAGTCCTTTGGATCTGAGCCATTAGAAAAGTGGAGAAACAGCCCTTGGTGTCCCACATCCATTGGTTAAAACAGATGCATTCTGCCTTTTAAAACAATGAATAACTCATAGTTTATTTATGCTGTGATGGGAGGTTCTGCTATCCTTTACTAATTAGCAGGGATCAGACACTTTGGAAGGGAGGAGGAATATTGGCATGGCCCATGAAGTTGGTCTGGCCTGTAGTAAGAACTGACATTTCACCAGGAAACTGGGTGTGGGGTTCAGGAGCAATGGATTGTGTTTTGATGTGGATTGACAATCCTATAGAAGGAGGTGGGATATTGTTGATAACTGGCAGAAAATTGGGATATCACAGTAGAATCCTCCGCTGTTATCTCCAAAAAAACTGATAAGTGAGAATCCAGTTTCCTTCACAATTATTTGTATTTACAAGCTAAGAAACTGAGTGTTAAGCATCTGTGTGCATGCCTGATTCATCCACCCAAATACGGAGATGTCTGTGCTTATATTCTCTTTGGATTGTGTTGTATTTATCACACAAGTAGTTACTCTTGCAAGGCCTGTGAATAAATGCACATTGTACCACCTGTTTAATACATGAGTGTTTTCCTCATTTGTCATCCTGCATGTAGGTAGAAAGGTGGCCAGAAACTGGATTTGTGAAGAAGCTTCAGAGAAGGGACAATACTTTCTATTATTATAACAAGGAAAGAGAATGCGAAGACAAAGAAATCCATAAAGTTAAAGTTTATGCTTACTAATTGTTGTAGCTTACCATTGTCTGTGTGTTTGTGTGTGTGAGTGAGTGTGTCTGTGTGTGAGAGAGTGAGTTTTAAGAAAAATTGTTGAACATTGTTGTTTTTATGAATTAAATGGAAACCATTAAAACAGTGCTTCAAGACTAACCTGATCAGATTTTAAATATGGCCCACTCTTTCTCTAGAAAGGAGAATATAAGATCATTATATTGTTAATGAACAATCTCCCATAAAGTGATCCTTCAGTCTGTCAGGAATCACTCTAGCCTGGCCCTTCAGAATAATAGCCCTACAGCTGACCAAAACGATTCAGCTTGGGCAGACTGGGGCTTCGACAGAGCCCTCCCTTTAGATCAGAAGTGGGCAACTATGGCTCTTTAATACAGTGTGAGCCTACAACTCCCAGCAGCCCTAGTCAGGATACCTAAAGGAGAAGAATTATAGGAGCTGTAGTTCAAAAACCATAGAAGGGCCATAGCTGCCTACCATAGTTTTAGTCCCTAGATTTCAATTTCCTCATGTCTTAGCCTGTTAACTAGAACACAAACTGCAGGTGCAGAAGTAGCTTTGGTCAGGCTGTATGGTCAAGTCATATGGTGGGGGCTAATTTGCCTTTCCTTCATTTACTAGGTTGCTGGTTACATAAGGCAGTTTCCTCTCTTCTTATTTCTCAAAAATTAGTTAAACATCGGTGGTATATTTTTTTGGAGTCCTGTATTCTTCTTTCAGTTTATTTTATTATTTATTATTTTATTTATTTTATTTATATCCCGCCTATCTGGTCGTGTCAGGACCACTCTAGGCGGCTAACAGCATTAAAAAGATGATACAAAAAATATACGTATAAAGACAATTTTACATAACAGAAATACTGAACAGAATGGGAAAACTGAAGGAGAAGGGGAAAAAAAGGGGGCGTCAGGGATT